GGGGGGGGGGGGGGGGAGGGGAAGTCCGGACATTGACAAATTCCCCCCGGCCGCTATTTTTAACCTGAAAAAGCCGGACATGTCCGGGGGAATCCGGACGAATGGTAACCCTAACCAAGAGGATTCAGGGAGCCTGGGGTCTTCGGCGACCGGGGGCCCCCGTCACCGAATTGCTGCCGAAGACCCGGCATTTCGGTGGCGGGTCCCGGGGCAGAAGGACCCCCCCCGCGTGGGTCTTCAGGGCACTTTGGCAGCGGGTCCCAGTGCGGAAGGACCCCCCGCCGCTGAATTGCCACCGAAGACCCGGAGCGGAAGAAGCTCCGGGGGCCTAGGCCCCGCGAGAGTTTTCCGGGGCCCCCAGAGTGAGTGATGGACCCCACTCCAGGGGCCCTGAAAACTCTCGTGGGGGCCCCTGCGGGGCCCGGGGCCTGGGGCAAATTGCCCCACTTGCCCCCCCCGGGCGGCCCTGAGCCCTGGGTGTTTTATTGCACTGTCGACATGCTCTCAAGAGTCCTTTCTCAGCCCTGAGGAAGAGCTCGGTGTAGCCCAAAAGCTTGTGTCTTTCACCAACAGAAGTTGGTCCAATAAAAGATATCACCTCCCCCACCTTGTCTCTCCAGCCATTAGACAGATGCGCATAGTTTACATTCAACCATTGAGTTATGCCGGCACAATGGATGTAGATGGAAGGGGAAAACATCCCCCCACAGCACAGCGGTGAATGGACCAGACAGCAGTCCCTTAGATCCAGGTGTGAAGTGGGTCACAGGGAACTGAGATTACCTGCTGAGCTTATCTGGGCCGGATCACACAGATTCTGCTTCAGACGAGAAAACAAGTCCTCCAGGCTGGCGTTGCGTTCTCCTCCACTTCCGGTTCTCGGTGTGACACCGTCGCTCTTCAAGGCTGATCTTTTCTCCATTTTATTTGAGAAGCCCTGGAAAACTTCAGAACAGCAACCGTTGGAAGGATTGTTACTGCTTATTGCTTAGGACAGACAGAGTGTGGGATGTGATAGATCAGTGACTCTGGCCTGGTCTGCAGATAGACTTGCACTGAACTAACTAAAGGCTCCAGTTAAAACTGATGTAGTTATTTCAGTTCGTATCTCTGCAGGGGCTCTCTTATTTCAAAACTGAAGTGGCTAAAGTCGATTTAGCGCCATTCAAGTTGATACCAACATTAACTAAATTGACCTTAGCGACTTTCATTCCGAAATAACAGAGTTCACACAAAGTGGACAAAGTCGATTTCGTTTATGTCAGGAGCAAACTGAATGAAGCTAAATCGACTTTAGCAACTTTGAGTCTGAAATAAGAGTAAAAAAAAAAAAATGAA